TAATGCAATAATAATATGCAATAATAATAAATAATGCAATAATAATATAATAAGTTACTAATACAAATATTTTTGGGCTCGATTTATAAACGAGCCGAACACAAATACATTTTTGTTCGTTTGTGTTCGGCTTGTTTGGCTTGAAATAATTAAATAATTAAATAATAATATTTATTTATATCTTTTTAGTTTAATATTTTATATGTATTAAATAAATGCTATTTTTTTTTTAAATATTTGAGTGTTATATTTTTAAAAATTTTAAGTTTGTGTTAGATATTTAAATAAATAAGATTTGAGTGGTATGCATGAAAATATTTATAAAAATATGGAACATACAAGTTTTGATGTTGAATATTTATATAAATAAGATTTGAGTGGTATGCATGCAAATATTCCTAAGAATCCTGCATAGAATCCGGTGCATACAATGGAAAGTTCTCTTAGCTACCTTCAGTCCCATGTCAGTAGTTTTTTCTTTGGAAATTCTGGATATCTCTATAAAAGCAAGGCATAGCTGTGGCGCTTTTCAACCATGAAATTTCAAATCCTTGATAACTGGGATTTGTAATATAAATATTCATGGCTTGCCCAAAAAAATAAAAAAATAAATATAAAAACGGTTCATTTGAACTGCGGCCGGTTCACCAGTTTTAATGTTGGACTGTAGGTTTAATCTGATTCCTGCCGGTCTAATGCAAGGGAGGTTTTTAACCTGCTCAGAACCAAGACCGCTACCGATTCATGGTTGAACCGCCCAGTAACCATGAACCGGTCGGTTCGGTACGTTTTTTTAAATGTGCATTAAAGTGCTTGCCATTGAGTTTGAGTCAATGATCTAAGAACCACGAGATCTTTCTTAGGTATGGAGGTAGCAATGTCTAAGAAGGGCATTGTATTGCAGAAGAAATATATTCTAGATTTGTTAAAGGAAACATGAATGATTAGATACAAACATGCTAATACTTCAATGGATCCCATCATGAAGTATAATAAGGGAGAAGTAAGTACATATGTGTATAAAGGAAAAAAATAAAAAATTGGTAGGAAAATTCATCTTCTGATCACATATTGGGCAAAATATTATATTTTGTTAGTATTGTGAGTCAACATATGAATAATCTAAATGAAGGGTATTTTGAGATAGTTTATATGATCTTGAGGTTTGTCAAGATGACTCCTAGTTATGAATTATTGTTTGAGAGAATAAAAAACTGGGGTAGAAGTATTAGGGTTTAGGGTTTAGTTGTCTCCAGAAGCAGTCCAGAATCATAGTATATGATACTTTCCTTTGGAATCTGTGAAGCAATATGGATTCAAAAATGTTGAAAGAATTGGGTTGTACCTCTGATAGGCCCATACAAATATTTTGTGACAATCAAACAACTATAAATATTGCCAAGAAACGTGTGCATTATGATAAGCACTTTATCTCTAAAAAAGTTAACAGTGGAGTTATACAATTAAGCCATGTCCCGACACACCAACAAGTCGCTAATGTCTTCACCATAGCTCTTCCATTAAGGAACTTCTTATAATTTAATGTCAAGCTTGGTGCTTTTTTCGTAATGTTTTTTTGCTATCGTTTTCTTGTACTTTTGTGGCCGCCTGTGTTGTTGGTTAACCTGTGAACTTAATTTACTCCTAGTCTGGTCAACTAGGATGTCAAAATATTTCGTGAAGCTCCTTGATTAGTTTTATTTTCTTCTTATTTATGTTTATTTTAGAGTTGTTTCCTTTCCATGTTTAAGGTGGATATATTTGGTACAACAATAACAAGCCTTTATCCCACTAAGTGAGGTCGGCAATATGAATTCTTTTTCTCCTTGTGTCCTATTGAGTGTCATATTTTCATTTTCATGTTTTGGCTAGATATATTTGATAAGATTGTAAATTAGGATGAATCTGATTCCCTATATATATATATATATATATATAACCTTATAGTTAGTCGAAGATATGGAAGGAGAATTTGGAAATTTTTTTTCCAAATTGTTCTTCACATACGTATATGCATAACTCATTGGACATTAACTTGCATATGCTTGAGCTAGTTGCACCTCTTTATTGCGCCTCAAAGTTTCCATTTAAATGTGCTGATTGTAACACCAACCAAGCATCTCTTATGCCCAAGTTATCGTCTGTCTTTTCCTTCCTTTTGTCATAGTGCAGCAATTCCACCCTTTATTGCAGCCACCTCTAGCTTGCCATTACTTAGAGTTAAACACATTAGCCCACTCTCTCCCGTTTCCCATGTCAAAGTAGAGTTTTGATACAAATTTAAACCATGCTTTTTTGTTTGTTGTCATTTGCATGTGCTCCCAGCTACTTGCAGCTTACTCATAATCTTTATGCACGCCAAATGCCAAGTTTATTCAAGTTGACGGTGGTTGTACTGAAATTTTGCTAGTCCAATTGGATCGAATATAAGGGGCAACATTAAATGAGGTGTTATAACCAAATGAATTTTTGGGCATCTCATTAATATTTGGCATCTACAAATTAATCTTCTTCTATATAACATTAATATTGTGAACAGTAGGTGTGTGAATGCAATGAATGTGTCAAGTTGTTGTAGTGACCCTAGTTTTTATTCTCAAGAGAGATTGCCTGGTGGTTGGGTTGAGAGCTTTTCTATAGAGAATTAGGAGTTGCCCGAGCAAATATTTTCTCAAGTAGGTTTCTTGATAGGGTTATAAACCTGTCACATGTAAGGTTAAGATTGAATCCAAGGCTTGCACCATTTCTTGGGATTACACTTGCTAAAGTTAAAATGGTGAAATGTGACATGCTGACCTATACAAAGTGCTCCTTGATCAAATAATATAGGATTTTTCGAGGTGTTCGGTTTTAAATTTGCATGAACCTTTTAAGGTCGTTTAGAATAAGAATTAAGGTTTAGGTAGCCATGCTTATTGGATGAAGTTATATGGCCCGCCATTAGGTTGTCTTCTATAGCACCAACAATTCTAAAAATGTGTGTACCCGTGTCAGGCAAGTATCGAACATTGGCATCTATTCGACAAGCGCCGAAATTTGATCAACACTTCAAAATATTAGTGAACTTTTTTGAGCCCGAACATGCCCGAGACATGCCTCGACAACGTATCAGACTTGAGCTCTACACGATTTGAGAAAAAAATGGGTGATAGGAAGTAGAAAATTATAATTATATCTCATAGTTAAAGCCACCTCCTTTTTTGTTATGTTAAATTTCCTCTAATATTGGGCAAAATCGAGCATTGAAGGTGTATCCAATATTTGTTGAAGTCGAGCATCAATAATTATCTTTTATTTGTCGAATCTGAGCATCAAAGGTCCAACCCGCATTTGTCAAAATTGAACTACATTTGTCAAAATCGAACGTTGTAGTTCTCTTTTGTTCATCGAAGCCTAATCTGCACCCGCCAAGCGGAAGCTGCAGGCTTCTATTTGTTAAAGCCAAGTAGTCAAAGCCACCCTAGTTTTCTAAGTCATAATTTATTCTTTTTTTTCTCATTAATGAGTTAATAGTTATAAATCTATACTTATTCTAATTTTAAAAGTTAAACTTGTAACTTCTTTAATAAAATAAGGTGTAATTGTAGGATATTTTAAATTTTAGTAGATAAGATGTTAAAATTTTTTTGAGACATTTTATGTGTCTACTTTATAAAAATTAATTTTTATAAGCATCATGTTTCATATTATAATTTAATTTTTATTCTTACATTTTTTTTTGTGATGCCTTTAATAAATAGTAATATAAATTAAAATATTTTATCTTAATAATTAATTAAATATTAAAGTAAGTCGATGATGTGTCATATCCAAATTTTTTTTAATTATACCGTGTCCCAGTATCGTGCTATGTCTCGTTCGTGTTCCCATATTCATGTTCCCTAACCTCTAATTAAGAGGTTGTAAAATCCATTCCTAGACATCTTTATTAGCTGGGATGTAAGCCCTCTTTGTTTTGGATTCACATTAGTTAATCTCACAAAAAACATACCCAAGCCACTTTGTTTATAGGGTAAGATAGTTTTCATAAATCTCATCCTTTCAAGGTATCGATTCAAACTTTCAGAGGTTCCAACCTTTATTCGTGGTGCCTTATATCCAAAGGAAGCATAGACTTTAACATCCTTGGGTTTGTTTGGTTTACATTCTCAAGATGGGTGATAATTCCATAAGTTTCATATATGTGTCGGGCCATGGCCCCACCTAAGTTACATACTAATTTCTAGGTTAGGCCATAACCCCACAAATTTAGCATTTCAAGCGACTCTATATCTAGAATGGTAAGCCCCAATCTTTCTAATATTAAAATTGTCTCTTATTGAACCATACACTCACCAAAGTGAACGCACATAAGGACATGCTTTTAAGTGAAACGATTTGTACCTCACGGAAATCCATGGATATGACAATTAATTCCGTACCACATAGATGATAACTCTGGTAAATGGAATGAACCCTCGAGGACTAAGCCCTGCATTGTTCCTTTGGGCCAAGCTTTAGTATGAATCGATTGAGATTTCTGTGTAGCACCTTTTGTGGTGACAACCTCAAACCTTTGAATCATGTTCAATTGTGTCTGCCTCAGAAGCCTTTTTCCGTTCCAGACAAACTTTGAGCATCTTTTCAAAGCTCATGTCCTTCACTACAACATTATGTATAAAGTTAGGATTAGTATCCATGTTAGCATCTTTTCGAAGCTTTGTTCTATGCTAGTCCACATACCCTAATGAGTAATGACATGAAGTTCCTACCCTCTGACACTTGGAGACTTGGTCCACCAAGTCTACCTGAGATGGTGAAATTGTGGGATCTTGTTTGGGTTGACCTTTTTTCCATTATTAACCAGGCATCCAAAATCCATGGCGCAGTGATATCCTTAACTTAGTGTATTCTTAGGCACAGGCTTTAAATGTAATTTTAATTAGAAGCTCTATGTGTTGAGACATCTTTTTTATACTTGCCTGCGATCAATTGCTAATATTTGGCTATGTTGACTGTAGAAGAAGAGAGGCGGCTAGATACCATATCTGAAGGTGTTAGTTATGAAGAATTTGGAAGCGAGTAATGAAGCGTTCAAGAATTACCCTTTGATTAAGCGCTTTGTTGGTGAGTCTAACCGTGCCGATGTGCTCTTCATTTAGCCATAAATTGTTTTTTTTTTATTCATTGAAATAGATTTAATATTCTGGTTTTGTTTTAACTATTTCGGACACCTATATGATGAACTTAATTGAATTTAAATGTTGCGTTCCTTGGAGATTAATATTTTATTATTTTGAGAATTCACTTTTGGTGATACCCTATTGTTATGATTCACTGGTTCACCGGGAATCATTAATTGAATTTCATGACCTTTAGGATCTATTAAAGAAAAAACTAGTGAAACCAACAATTGCTCTTTTTAATATCAAACTTGAAAACTTGCCTTGCAATTCGCATACTTCTTTTAAAAGATTAGATTTACATAGATACCACTCAATTCCTATTTTGTTACATATCTAACACCTAAACTTCAATTTTTACATATATGCAATCTTTACCCATGCATGAAAAAGTATATTTCACTTTTCGAAAATTAAAATAATGATATTTTTATATGATATGAAAGGTTTTAGCGGTGTAAATGTTAAAAATAAAGTCTAGGTGTTAGATACGTAAGTAAATAATTGGGTCGGCATGTGTATAAATGGTGTTGCCTTTTTTTTCCTAGGTTTTTGGAGACTTTAATTGGCTGTCTATTTGACCTTATGAATGCTCAATAGTTGGTTCCTGGCTCATTTGCATCCATCTTATAGGGGGGATAATACATTCCATTTTTTTTTTCTTAGATGTACAGGGGATGACACTTCCCGGCTTATTTGTGTCCATCTTTTATTATTGTTTCTAACCATCACCTATCCCCCATTAATCAGTTTAGGTGTTATATATGTAAATCCTTAGGAATTGAGTGCTATATATGTAAATATTTTATTTTACTTGATTTTGTTACATATTGCGAGACAACAAATAATAATAATAATAATAATAATAATAATAATGTTTTTTTATTTTTAATTTTCCTCTGCTGCAGGATTGAAGACACCGATTTGACTGCAGAATAGACTTTTGTACATAAAAACGGTTGGTGTGCGATGATAGAGCGTGGCTTGGGTCCTTGAACGCTGAAGTGTTTTCTAGTGCTTGTTTTTACTCTTATCGCTTGAGATTTATGTTATATTTTAGCTTTTAGATAATCTGTGTCCTTTCTGGGCGTCCGTCCCCCCTCCTATATTCTTATTAAGATCATGAATACCTCAAAACCCTAAGGTCCGCATTGGTTCCTTGAGTGGCCGTAATAGATTTTAGAATTGTCTGCATCCGTCTTCTATATTTATGCTACCCACTGATTTATACAAGTTTCCAGATATATAACAGAAGTTGTTTGAAGCTGGAAAAAATACTATTCTGTTCTTGTTTACTTCTTGCCATTTGTCAATTCACTGTGTGGCGTTTATTTTTATTTCATGCATTTGCATACATACCACCCAATTCTTATGTATTTACATATCTAACTCTTAAATTTTTGTTTTTTTTTTTATAGTTATAGCCCAAATCTTTCATATCACATTAAAAAAAACTAATATTTTGAACTTTTACAAGGTGGATATGCACCCTTTCTTGCATAGGTAATGAAGCATGTATGATGTAAAGGATTGAAGTTTAGGTGTTAGATATGCATTTACGTAGGAATTGAAGTGGTATGTATGTAAATCTTCATTTTTAATTTATATATATATTTTTTATTTTGGAAGGCACATTTAATATTGAGAAGTATTCTACACGTGGAATGATTTATTGAGCATCTCAAATTTAACCTTATGAGTCCTGAAAATCGTAACTTAAATAAGTCGATTTTCGTCTTTTAAGAAATGAGGAAAGAGAGTTTGTTGTAGCTTATTAAAAAATAACTGTAAAATTGCTGAAAAATAATCTGATGTTCAAAAAGTTGCAGTGTCAATTATATATATTTTTTTTATTTGAAAAAGTTAGACCGTAGTTAAAAAGCTGCCACAACACTTAACCAGAATAGGCGAGAAAGTGTAAATTTCAGCGGCTGTTTTTTAAATGAGATGTCAAAACGAAGATTAGCCAAATAAATAAAATTGTGGTATGGTGTTGCACCACTGCTTCAAACGGACCCTAAATCCAGTTGGATGGTAAATAACGAGCAATTGGCTCGCAAGGCTTATTATTTTACATCTTTACATGATAAAAAAAAAGAAAATCAGAGATCTTTGTATGTGTTCTTGTTACAAGGGTGGATATATTATGCGCCGATGATGATATTTTGATGATATAGTTATGATTTAATATCATTTACTTAATATTTTTTTTTTATCCATATGTAATATTTTTTCTACACAAATTTTAGCTTTAATGATTATATAATTTAAATGGATTAATATGCATTAATGTGGCGTTTATCCACATCCCACAATTTTTAAGTATTTACATATATACATAAATATTCATATTTATATGCATACCACTCAAATGCCATGATTACTAAATCTTTAAAATAGAAATACATTTTAATATACAAATTTATAACAATTTTGGGAGAAGGGACTCATTGAGACTTACATCGTGTGAAGCAATATCTCAAAATTTTTTGTGACAATGAACTGTCAAAATAGTTTCTGATTATTTTAAAATTGAGCTTTAATATTTTCTTATTGGATTATTCCAACCTTAATTTAAAGAGTGAGGATTGTTTTGACATTTCTATATATTCTGAGATTAAAACTTCCTCATGTAAATAGTCTGTAATTATTTTTCATCATAATTGAAAGAAATATATATATATATA